GAATATACTTTATTTTCTTTCCTTTCAAGTGGAGAACTTTGACCTTTAAGTTTAAGGAAACACTTTACAGCTTTTTTTTTTTTTTTTTCTAATCATACATCCTGGACCTACAATTTCTAGCATCAATACTCTTGAGCTTTGGGGACTTTAATAAGCAAAGTAAGGGTCACTTGAACACAAGCACCATGTGACCGTTGATCTGATAACCATGATGCCTACTAAGTGACTAATGGGAACGTGATGTGTCCAACATTTCTAGAGATTAAAGCATCCGAGTATATTATTATCAAACTTTTTGAAAAAAAATGGTCAATATTATAATATTTCTGTGTTATATGGAAGTCCTTTCCATGTTGAGCTATAACATTTGACTTTAAATCAAATCTCATACCTTACAAGGAGGCTATTATCATAGATTGGGCATCTTACATACCTGTGATTTGAGATGTGTTTGTATCTGAGGGCTTGATATGCTGTGTGTCGGAGCTTCGCCTAAATATTTTGCTGAAGTTTGTTAAAGTTAAAGATGTGAATGTTTAATTCATGTGAAGTGACCAGTAATTGCTGCCTTTTACACAAGTTGGTGCATTGCATCTGGACCTTAAACACACAAAATGGTCAGGAAAATCTGGCACTTCTGCTGCTTACATTGGATGCCATTTGGAGGGGGTAAAAACCCTGCTATTTGCAATTTGCTTTCCATCTGTTTGTTTTCACGGAGTGGGCACTGGCTATTTCAGATTTTAAGTGCATTTGTATTCCAGGTATGCTTTGCTTAAGAACGTTTCCTTTTTAAACCTCTTTGTTGCTGAGATGTGATGAAAAAGGTTTGTCCACTGACTGCTAGCAGTCTATCATTTCCCTTACAACTTGGGACCAAATGAGGTCAACAACTGGAACAGGTCCATCCTGGCAATGTTTTTAGAGAAACAGGGGGAGAAGTTGTTAAAATCAAAATGGAGTCACTTGTGTCCATCTTACCAAAAAGACAATAAAACTGGGAGGTTTTCAAGGAAGTGTTCTTATGCATGATTGCCTGACACTTGATACCCTGTATTTAGGACAAGTTTATGATTGTGTGTTTTTAATTCTGTCATTACACCGCTGCATGACTATCATTTCTGAGTAAAGAAAGAAGTGTTTTAAAAAGATGCTTTGAACAGAACATTTTGGTTTAAAATTCTGTAAGGAATCAGCAGTCAATACTGGAGCAGGTACTACTGAAGGGGCTCCGTTGGACTTGAAGTCACATTTCCCTGCAGGAGCCCTGGATGCAACTGACAGTAGGCAACTGACTAATTAGCTACACATGGCTCTTCCAGGAATGCTGGAGACACAACCAGTCCCCTGAAGAAGGTCTGTCAAATATAGAGCTGGACTCTAAAGGGCCTGCTGTATGGGTGCATAAGACATGGGAAGAACAAGTCTCAACTGCAAATGACTCTGAAATGGGCTAAAATTCAGCCCATTAAAAATTCTGTTCGGGAGACCTTTTCAGCCATCTGTATTATCTACTTTGTCTCCTTACTTTAAATCTTGAAAAAATGTTCAAATAATTAATAAATAGTGTGTAGAAATTTCCTTTTTCTAGGTCCAGATTTCCATCAGACAAAGCTCTGTATGTATTTACTTCTGGGATAGAGTGCTACTCAAAACCTGGAAAGAACAAGAATCTGGCCACCCATGAGTGAGAGGTGGACTGGTCCTTATGCATGGGAGCTCCACCACAACAACAGAGAACTTCTTCTCCATAAAAAGGATGAGTAACTTTGAGCTTTTGCTTCCTACTCTCATGCATCTCCTCCATACTAAATAGCATTGTTAAAATGGGGCTCTCTATTATTTATGCCAGACAGGAAAAAAAATAACAACAAAGGTTATTTGGTATCTTTGATAAAAATCCAAAGAACTGTTTTTGCAGTGCTTATAGGCTATGATATTTCAATTTAAATTTTGTTTCTTACAATTTGGCTGAATTTGGAAATTGGATGAAGGGGTCTGCTAGTTAGTACCACATGACTAGCAGAGAGCATTGAAGGTTTAACAGGAGCCTCTGCTAACATGGGAAACAAATTCGAGGAAGGAAAAATTGGTAAGAAATCAACATTTTATACTATGTTTAATAACTGTGGTGTCTCCACTTGCAAGTATTTAACCTGTACACTAAGCTAGGGACTTTGAGTAAAAAGACAAAAGGAAGTAGAAATATTTATAGTATCAGCTGATGTCAGATTAGCTATCTGGCTAAAATTACAAGCCTGTCCTTTAGGGAAAATTTGTTTGAAGAGTACTTATTTGGTCTATCCTCATCCCAGCCCTCCATTTTTTTAAAACACAAATATACCTTAAACAGTTACTGGAATTCAAGTCCTATCAGGTCAGGTGGTTCCATTCCATTTCCCCCTGCAACGCCCCTTCTCAGCAGGAAGTAGTCAGATATGAGACGTCGACCCCAATCTCCTAAGACTATGGAATGGACATCTGACACTAGGAATTTAAACCCAGAACTAAGGATAGTTTTTTTCATTACTGGGAGTTCATAATTGCTCATTACAGAGAATTTGGCAATAGTTAAGACTGCGGCCACATCTACCCTGTAGCCTGCTTATTTTGTAATATGTAACTAGTCAGTGACAAGATAGCTCAGGAAAATTATAATCTTTATTTTTGAGATTTATAGAATTGAAAAATCTCTCATGACTAGGTGATTAGGATCAGCTTCTGTGAGAAGGTACCCATCAGCTACCTCTATAAGCTACTCTTAAATCATCTTCTAGAAAAGAAAGGCCTTGTGACAAGAGCCCCTCTAACTTCTCTCCGAGCTGGCTTTTGGAACAGACTTGTTCCTCAACACCTTGTCTCTCAACTCAACTGGCCTGTCATGGGGCAGGTAGTCCACTAGCAACAATTCCATAGACTGTGCTCATTTCTTATAATGAAAAATGAAACATTTATCTTTTTCTTTCTGACTTGCCTTTCCAAAATTCTTACTGATTTTTCTTTTTTTCTGGCAATACATTGATTTGCATAGATTTGCATAGACAGTCTGTCCTCCTTGTTAACAGGACAGCATTAGAAACAATGGTAAGACAATCAAAGTCTTGCCTGGGATATCTGTAGGAGGAGGATGCTTATTTAGTCAGATATGACCAGACACTTTCCAAAATAAGGCTGTTTTATGGAGCCAGTGCTTACAAGCTCCTCTTGGAAAAACTGTCCTGACACCTGGCTGCACAGGGTGCCCAGACTCACAGGGGAGTCAGGAGGTGACTTCCAGGAATCTTAGGCTACCTGGGGGACCTCAAGAAGAAGGAAGGTCCTGCCAGTCAATAGGTTCTGCAGGTGAATGTGATGGTGAGCTCTGGGTTTGGCTTCTCACCCTCAAGAGGCTTTGCAAAGTGCATTTGAGATTCTTCCTGAAAACTTCCAGCAGAGCAAATGGAAGAAGATCTACATGTAAATCGCCATTCTTGCTGCATCTCTGTGAAGAGCCAGGGCAGATGTCATGAGACCAGCTCTCTTGGGTGATCAAGAATAATCTTTCCTTAAGATTGTCTTTGATCAGAAGTGGGGAGAGACTGTAGAAGGAAATTTTGTCTTTCAGTGGGGAACTCTAGCACTGGCTCCATAAATCAGCCTTATTTTGGAAAGTGTCTGGTCATATCTGACTAAATAAGCATCCTCCTTCTACAGATATCCCAGGCAAGACTTTGATTGTCTTACCATTGTTTCTAATGCTGTCCTGTTAACAAGGAGGACAGACTGTCTATGCAAATCTATGCAAATCAATGTATTGCCAGAAAAAAAGAAAATTCAGTAAGAATTTTGGAAAGGCAAGTCAGAAAGCAAAAGATAAATGTTTCATTTTTCATTATAAGTATGAAATGTTCATTTTTCATTATTGGATTCTGGTTGCGTTCATTTGTGTTGGAGCTATTTTGAACATCTTTGTAAACTGCATGCAACTGGTGGATATGCAAACTCTGTCTTGTCTGGTTGCCAAACTTTATATTTCATTATGAAAAATGAAGTTTGGTACTTCTCTCCAAATTTGACAGGATCTTCTCCTGTTGAATCTGTTACCAGAATTTCTATTCTTCCAGGTCTGCCTATAAACTAATATACTACCTTTCATTTTTTTCCTTTCTCATTCTTGCAGTCATTGATTCCTAACCCTAAGCCTGGGTCCTTTCTAGAACTATAGGTTGTCTTGTAGCTGTTCTTTTTTTTCCTAGAATTTGAAGAATCACCCGTAGCTTCAAGCCACAGTCTACTTCTGAGTCTAAAAGATTTATCATCCTAATGATGGTTCTCTCTCACCTTGGAAAAGCTACTGTCTGGACTACTAATAAAGTCCAGTGAATTTATCAGGTCATGCATTACTTTACTGGAGAAGTAACCAACATGGTGGATGGCATTACCAATGTATCAACGTCTTTGCTTCAAAAAACTGGGTGAGTGGTGAGGGACCAAACATACAATCTTCTATGGTTTGGGTCTAGTTCCAGTTTGTCTCCCAGAGTTTCTTGTGCTAGAGTTTTATTTCCCAGTAGGACAATGTTGAGGTGGTAGAACCTTTAATAAGTGGGGCCTAGTGGAAGGTGGGCAGGCCATGGGGGCACGAACCTAAGAAGGGATTAATGCAGGTCTCTAGGAGTGGATTGGATCTTGAAAGAATGGTGTTATGGTTTAGATGTGAAGTGTCCTTTAGAAGCTTATGTGTGAGACAATGCAAGAAAGTTCAGAGTGAAATGATTGGATTATGAGAGCCTTAACAGAATCCATGCATTAGTTTCCTAATAGGGATTAACCTGGTAACTGGAGGCTGTTAGGGTGTGGCTGAAGAGATGAGTCATGAGGATATACATTTGGAGGTATACATTTTGTATGTGGTGAGTGGAAACTCACTCTCTCTTTGCTCCCTGGTGCCATGTCCCCAGCTGCTTTCTTCTGCCACACACTTCTTCCATGATGTTCTGCCACACCTTGGGCCTAGAGGAATGGAGTCTGCCATCTAAGGATTAAGACCTCTGAAACTGTGAGTAACAAATAAACTTTTCCCCCTCTGGAATTATTCTTGTCAGTTCTTTTGGTCATAGCAACAAAAAAGCTTACTAAACAAATGGGTTGTTATAAAGCAAGTTCAGCTGTCCTGGGTCCCTCTCTTGCTTCCTTTATTACCACGTGATCTCTCCTTCTCACACATGTTCCCCTACCTTGATGCTATCAACCATGTTATGACATATGTGGAATCTCTCACCAGCACTGAGTAGATGCTAGCACCATGATCTTGGACCTCTAAAACTGTGTGCTAAATAAACCTCTTTTCTTTATATATTACCTAGCATCAGATATTTTGTTATAACAACAGAAAATAGGCTTAGACACAAATAGATAAAGGCCAGTTCATATATAAAAATGCAACTCTGACTAAAACCTCTACAACAACACTCTGAGAAGCCTAACCTCAGCCTCTTTAGCACTGAGTCTAGAATCACTCAGGACGTGATCAATAATTGTCAGGTTCTACATTTTTCATTCCCACTTCTAACTTTGGACTGACCATAGAGGACAAATACATACTCACCAATCCAGTTGTATGTTCTGCCTCTAGTTAGCCTCCCTCTAACTTCTCTATACCAAGAGCCTTCAAGTAGGCATACCACAGCCTTCCTAGTTTCCACTATTGAGCTTTGCCACCACTCTGTGTTCAAGCCCCTGACAAATATAAGAAATTGTGGGTGGTTCATTTGTTTAGGAAGCTCTGAATAAGTAGCATTTGTTTGTGCTCATTTGAGTGACCTTCATTTATTTCCAGTTTTCTTGGAGGTTCCATCAAGATATGGTTGGCACTGCCCATCATCTCAGAGCCCAGCCATCAATCAACTGTGGGATGCCTCATGCTTTGCTGCTTCCTGCACCGTGATGTGATCAAGCAGTGCCAGTTCTGAACTCTGCTCTCTTCTTGTTAAGCATCGTGGGTGTTTATTTTGATTTTTGTCCTCTGGTTTCGTTATCAGTTCCTAGATGAGTGACATCCTTGATAGAACCAAGCCACTCTTTTCTTCCCTCTTGCTGTCATTTGTGTTACTAACTAGAGTTGTGCTGTCTGAAAGTGTGATTTGTCATGAGAAGAATCACAAGTAGGACACAGGCACAGGCCCTGCAAACCTATCGTTAGTGCCAGCCTCGCAGACAGGGGGATTTTATTTCCCAACTCACATGTCACCCTGTCATCAATTCTGCCTAAAGCCACTTGCTTCACTGTGAACAAGTGATCTCTGCCTTGTCTTTTCTGAGTGTGCCTCTGGACCAGGAGTAACGTTTTGCCTTTGCCTGGGGAGAACAACAATATATTTGTGCAGTCATGTCTCAGGGGTTCACAGAAGCCCCTTCTATTTTTTTCCCAAGCCCTCTATCAAGATTTATAAATGCCTCTTGTGATTCAGTTTTGATACCATATGTAGGTAGCCTCCTATTTTTTGTTCATTGAAAGAAGAAAAAGCCTGTAAAAATTCCATTTATTTGCTTTCAGTCCTGTTGCAAAAAGATGTGCTTCAAAAGGCAAATTATAAAATTTCCCGAACAGTGTCCATTACTTGAGGCATAATTTACTTGAGGAGGGAAAATGTTCTCTTCTGATAAGTCAAAGGCTGCAAAACTTATCCTAGACTCCTTTCAAGATGGCAACTGAGAGGTCTTCCGGGTTTAACTAGGTGTTTCAGATAACAGTGCCCAGATTTCTGTGATTGCAGTGTCTCTTTATGTATGGACTTAAGTCCTCTGCAAGATCCTCTGATCTGGGAGCACAAACAGAAATAGGTCTTCCTTAACCCAAAGAAAGTTCTCTGTTATGTTCCTTCCTTAGGAATCCCTAAATGGTGTTTCCTGGATTTTATGAGTGATCTGGACATAGTCTTAGGGTTTTAACTCAGTTTCTTGAGAACTATCTAAAACCTTGTGCTTTCGTGGGAACCATAAAAAATAAAATAAAATAAAATCCTCTTGCTTACTAGACCCTCCACCTTGACCAGGTTGTTCAGGTCACTCTCCTCGACTTAGGGCAGTAGGTGGGGCTGCAACACCTGGTGATGCTGCTGCTGATCTGGTTCTGAGCTCTGTGCCTTTCCTCAGGGTTCCTCAAGCCACTTGGACACTACTATTGCCTGGGTACTCAGCCAGCCAATGAGCTCCTCACACCTCTCCCTCTCACAGCACTACATTTCCCTACTACACACCGAATCCTGACACTTTCCTAAAAATTAAAATGAAATAAGGCAACAATTCAGCTGTCTTAGTTTAGTTAGGGAACTTTAAGTAAGTTTACTCTCATGTATTAGTGACCTCATTGAGAAACCTGGCCTGATACTGTGTTATGGACCATACCTTAAAAGTGACACTGAAGGTTATTAAGCAGGATCTGCAATGAGTAGTTTAAGAAGATGGATCTTTAGAATATAATCCTCTACCCAAAGTAAAATCAGCCCAATACTAGAGTTTATCAAATAGCTGAACACCAAAGAGTAAATACAGATGTAGACAGCAGACATGTTTAGGGAGTAGTACTTGACTTTAGTGTGCTCTCAGGATGCAGGGTATTTCTTTCATCTGCCAGGACCCTTATAAAAATGAACAAGCTACAGAAGTTTGAGGTGCATTCCCCCCTACCTAAAGCAAAGGCTGTTAAAAAGGCTGAGTGAGGCCCCTAAGGAGAGATTCCTAAACACATTGTTCTAGGAGATATTTGTGCTGAACAAGCTCCCTTGACCAAGGTCATGATCCTGTTTAAACACTGGGAGCATAAATCCCTGGTGGGATTTTGAAAAGGAAGATTGGAACACATTTGGTTTTACTCCTCACAGAGACAGGCTCTGCCACCCTCAGAATGGCCTTCTGTGACATGAGATCATCTCCAGTGGATATAAGCTAAATTTCTTCACGCAGTACTTTTATGTACTGAATACCAGCTCTGTCACCAATGAGTTAAAGCTAAAAATTTTCCCACAACATTTTCCTAAATCTCTTCTTTATAATTTTCTACCAGAATATTTCATCATTGGAAGATATTTAAGAGAAAAGCTGCCCTTGGTTTCATTGGAAGACACCTTATCAGGTACTCTTACAATAAATACTGTAGTAGAATTCCAGAGTCAATGCTTGGGGAAATTCAGAGTTCCATACAATTGGAAGTCTACTCCAACGGAGGGCTACAGCATGGAAAACTTAAGATTCTTAGAGGCTGTGACACAGCTGATCTTTGAAAAGAAATGCTGACCCAAGACCTTGGTAACAAATAGCTGACTCCAGACAATAGGCAGCTACTGTGAAGATGTTGGACCAAGACTCCCATCTAATTCATGCTTTGTTATTTTCTCTACTTGCTCATAATTATTCTTCTTTTCACTTTCTACAGACCCTTGGCTGTCATTCACACATAATAGCCTATTTTTTCTCTTTTCTCTCTTCCTTATTATAACGGTTAGGTCAGAGCATACTCATTTCATTGCCATTTTTAGATTATCCCAAACAGTTTCCAATCTTATTGTCTGCTGGACATTCCACCCATCACCTGATCCCCTTATTAAAATCCTCTGGGCAATCCCAGTCTCTCCAGTGAGACCATAGGAAGGATACTGGTGATGTTTCTACTGTACCTATGTTGAAAATTGATCCTAAGTAAATCAGCCTATCACTTTACCAGTATCTATCTCACCTAGAAAAAAGAACTAATTATTCAAATCTATTGACCAGACAGCATGTACTTCTAAATTCAAATTCAATAAACTTCTTAGGCAAATAGGCTGAATATTTTCCATTGGAATAGATTAATAGAGATCCAAATCTGTAACCCAGAGGGCTAGCAGACAATTCTACAGCAGTGCTGCTTACAACAAAAAGCTTTTCTTTGCCAACCTCTTGAAATTCACTAGATTGCTGACCCTCAGGATGAGACTTCGGGGTATTTGCTTTAATTTGACTTTTTAACTTAATATTTCTCTCTCTCTCTCTCTCTCTCTCTCTCTCTGTCTCTCTCTCTCTTTTTATTTCAGCATACTTGTTTAAGACATCTGCACTCCAGGATTCTAAAACAACTGACCTTTGCTATCACCTCTCACGAAGTGGCTCAATTTATTTTACAGAAACACCACCACCAAGAGCCCTAGCATGACTAGTTATTAAAACCTTCTTCATCTCACTCAGGAGATTTATGATTGTCTCTAAGTTGTTCAACAACTATTATATCCATTCATCTTGAACAAAAGGAGGACCGACAATGTTGAACTTTACCTGAGATCTGTTTCTGGGAAACAGTGAGGTTTAAGAAATATATGCCCATCATTGTACTCTAAGAAAAGACTTCAATTAAATATCCTTCTCCATAAAACTGAGATGACTCCCTGTACACTTTTTTCTTATAAGCCCAATAAGACTCATGTGTATATGTGTCTGTGGTCAATTTATATTTGACAAAGACGGCAAGATCACTCAATGGGAAAGAATGATCTTCCCAATTAAAAGGCTTCAGGACAACTGCATAGCCCTGGGCAAAATATGAAGTTGAAATTTTACTTCATAATATACAGAAAATTAACTCAAAATGAATCAGATACCTAAGTATAAGAGCTAAAACCACAAATATTGTAAATTTTTACAACTTCAGATGTTGCAATCTATTTTGAGAGATGACACAAAAATGCAAGGTGCGAAAGGAAAAAAAATAGCTAAATTGAAGCTTCATCAGATTAAAAAAAATTGTGCTTCAAAGCATACTATCAAAATGAGAGCTTTCTTGAAACCCAGTGATAGAGGACTTGCCTAGCATGTGTGGATATGAACCCCAGAAAAAAAACGGAGAAAGAAAGAAACCAAAGAAAAAGGAAGAAGGAAAAGTGAAAAGCTAATCAATAGATGAGAGGGGTGCTTGTAAATTATATATCTGGTAAATAGTTTATATTTAGAATATATTAAAAAATCTTCCAGTGCAATAATAAAAAGATAAATAACCCAAATAAAAATCACAAATCATCTAAATAGACATTTGTAAAAGGGAGATGAAGTGGTCAATAAGAATATGAATAGATGTTTGGCATGGTTCATCATCAAGTAAATGCAAATCAGAACCACAATCAGATGCTACTTCATACCCACAAGAATGGCTACAATCAAAAGATCAGAAAAGAACAATATTGACAAAATGTGGAGAATTTGGAATCTTCACAGACATCTGGTGGAAATGTAAAATGGTGCAGGAAGTTTAGACAACAATCTACCCGTTTCCTGAAATGATTAAGCTTAGATCTTTTTATTTAACTTCCACTTCTAGCTATGTAGTCAGGAGAAATGAAAACATTTATCTGCATATAAATTTGAACACAAATGTTGATGGCAGCAATATTTATAAGAACCAAAAGGTGAGATCAACCCGAGTGTCTATTAACTGAATGGATAAGCAAAATGTGGCGTGTCCATGCAATGGAATATTGTTTGGCCATAAAAAGTAATGAAGTACTGACGCGTGTTGCGGATGGATGAACCTTGAATGCATTGTGCTAAATAAAAGATGCTGCTTTGGTTTGGATATGAGTTGTCCCCAAAGGCTCCTGTGTTAATGCAGGGATGTTCAGAGGTGAAGTGATTGAATCTTGAGAACTATAACCAAATCAGGCCAACCCAATTTGAGTGGATTGTATGATAACTATAGTCAAGAGGGGTGTGACTAAAGGTAGAGGGTCACTGGGCTTGTGCTTTGGAAAGGTTCATTTTCCCTGTGACTTGTTCTCCACTCCCTCTATTTCCCCACTGCTTTGAGATGAGCCATGCTCCTCTGCTATACTGTCGGCCATGGTGTGCTGCCTTATCAAAGGCCCAGAGCAATGGAGTTGACTCTCTATGGACTGAGACCTCTGAAACCAGAAGCCCCAGATGAACTTTTCCTCCTTTAATTGTTCAAGTCAGGTTTTTTGGTCACAGCAACACAAAGCTCGCTTAAACAGATGCCACTTACAAAAGACCACATACAACTCATTTGTGTTTAATGTTCTGAATAAGCAAACCTGTAGTGATAAGAAGTAGGCTAACATTGAACAAAGACCAGGATGGGGGATGTGATATGATAGTTAAAGGGCAATTAGTTTTGATATGAAGATTTTCTAAAATCAGCTATGATGATAGCTTTATAATATGTGAATAGTCTATAAAAATCTTTGTAGCATGTACCTTAAATGAGCATATTATAAGGCATGTAAATTATATTTCAATGAAAGTGTTAAAAACAAAAGAAAACAAATTATCTATGTTGGCAAATGTTTACTTCTGATAGCAGTTGGGTGTCCATTTTGAACTTTGTTCTTATTTTACTTATTTCTGATAGTTCTGTTGGTCATCTGAAAGAACTCTGTGCTGACTTTTCCAGGATGGAGGATGTGAGATGACTTTTCCTATCTGTCTAACCATCGGTGCTGCCTTTTGACTGGAAGAACTTGGTTTTTCTCCTGATGGCCTCCTACCTGAAATCAGCTGCTTCTTATGAAGGTCTTAGAGGAATATTCCAAGAAAACAAAATCAGAAGAACCTCTTAAGCCTAACCTTAGAGACTGCATTTTTATTTCTGCCACATTCTATTGATTAAAGTAAGTTATAAAGCCAGCCCAGACTCAGGAGGATGGAGAAAGAGACTCATCAAGTAGAAAGGGGATGGCAAAGTCACCTTGCAATATACCCCTGTCTTGCTGGGATAAGAAATTAGAGGCATTAAAAAAACAATCTACCATAATCTTTGTAAAGATTTAAGGACTTATCCATTAGTCATCAGGGAATCTCTAAGAGGTATTAAGCAAGGTAATTACATGATCAAGCTTATAATTTTGAAAATGAACATGAAGACTGTGGAAGTCGAAATAAAAAGAGAAAAATTTGAAGTCAGCCAAAATGTATTTACAAAAGATAATAAACTAATCTATTAATAAGTGATAATGGTTTGAATAAAGATCGAATGAGGAGAAATCTTATTGATTTTTGAATCTAACTCAGCATCCAGCATGTTTCAAAATTACATAGAGCATGATAACTCACTGCCCCATGATGTGTGTGTGTACCATAAATTATCTGTTACGTTGTACCAATCCAAAAAAAAAAAAAAAATCCAGAGAAAGCAAGAAACCTATGAGCATGGAATTTAGATGAAGATCAATTTAGGCAAAATGTGTAAGTTACTATAAAAACTCTGGTTGTTCTATTGGGTAATGCAAATTACTTTAATTGCTGAGAGAGAGAGAGAGAGAGAGAGAAAGAGAGAGAGAGAGATCATTAGTTATAGACCAAAAATGAGAGCATAGTATCAAACAAGCATTACTTTCTACATTTGATTCATGTGTGAAAAAAAGAACACTGAACTGTCTAATGAATCTCCAGTGAGATGAGCTTGCAAACAGCATTTTTCAAGTTTGCTTAATTTTGAATCATTTGTCTACTTTGGGAAATGCCTAAGAACTTGTTATGACCATTCAAAGATGAGGACTTTGAGCTATGAGATATTAAACAATTTCTTTTGTTCTTACTCCACACTTTATATTTTTCTTTTTTTAGTGGCCTTAAGCAATTTTATTAGCTAAAAAGCATTCAATAACAGTTAATAAGGGCTGGATTCTTTACAAAGTCCCATAAATACCACTGAAAATGTAAAAGCCATACCCTTTGCCTCTAGAGACAAGCTGTCTCAGACAGAGGCTGCTAGCCACTCATGGCTATGAAGCACTTGAATTGTGGATAGTGTAACTGAGGAAATAAATTTTAAATTTAATTTAATTTGAATTGATCTTCATTAAAAGTTAAAACATTTTCCACTCAATGTAATTCTAGTACTTTGGTAGGACTACATTTTACTTAAACTATTGAAAATTTAGCACCCAAACTGAGATGTGCTACATGTACAAAATACACACTGAGTTTTGAAGACATGGTGTGCAAAAAGTATAAAATATTTCATTAATGATTTTTATATTTACTACATGTAAAAATAAACCTTTTAATTTTGGTATACATAATATACACATACACAGATTACCTGTGTAGAAGCCAATGACTAGAAGGGCAGGAAGGATGGAAAGATGAAATTGGCCATGCCTTCCTTCATGATGGAGTCACACGGAGCAACATGGCTTAGCAGAGACCCTAGAGCTCACTCCTCTCAGAGCACAACCTGGACTCCTGAAGACATGTAGGAATGACAGACGAACTAGTCTAGTAAGATGTGTGTGTATTCAGAGAGCATATATAACTTAAAAATATTTACCCTTCCTAAAGAGATCCCACTTTGAGGGATCCACAGCAACAGGAGTGTTTCTTCCTCTAACAAACATTTGCCTAACATTTGAGCCAAACTGATTAAATGTAGATGAAAGGGAAAGAGAGGAATCAATAATAAATGCTAGCTTTCTGATCAGCTTGGTGGTGCCATTGACTGAGATGCTAAAGTTCTGTGTGCAGGTTGCTTAGGTTTCTTTGGGTGGAGGAGATAGAAATGTTAATTTTGAGACTCTTACAACATATTCAAATGGAGGCAGTATGGAGTCTTGGTCCTACTCCACACCAAAATATATAAATATCTCTTGAACGTACAGTAAGTTGGGTATTTAAAATAATCTCCCCCATGTGACTCTATGGGATATCCAGGGTTGACTTCAACTGGTATAAGTCTGTGGTGTGAGGATGGGATCTGGAAAAGGGTGGTCAAAGAGGGTTGGGAACAAGTGAAGACCCATTCCATTTTGGAAAAGTGAGAAAGAAGAAATGACACTGAGTGAACTGAGATTCAGAAATCCTACTCGATAGCTTCAGTTCTGTAACCTTGAAGAAGTGTCTTTCCCACTTTAGCATTAGTTTCCTTAACATCTATAAATGATGAGATTGGACTAAATGTGCAACCTACTGATGAAGTGCTCTCTAGATGCCTAGTCCTTGACAATGATCCCTGAGTGACACAAAGAATGAAACAGTGATTAAAAACATGGGGTTAAACACCAGCACAAACCATTCTCTAACAATGACCCTGGACAAGTCATTTAACTTCTCTTATTATTAACTTCCATAGCTGGAAAATTGGAATCGCAATACCTGTCACCTAAGGTCATCAGAAAGATTAAGGTGACATTCATGAAGTAATGGATTAGTCAACTTTTCATCACTACAATGAAAACATGAGACAGATAGCTTATAAAGATAAAAAAATTATTTAGCTCACAATTTTGTAGTTTCAAAGTACAAGACCTGGTGTTGGTTTGGCCTCTGGTGAGGTTGGTAGGTGGTGGCATGTTATGGTGAGTGCACTTGTAGGAACAAACAGTCACATCTCAAAATGGAGCAGAAAGAGAGAGAATGGGGGTCCCACAAT